AGAGGATTTTTTTCCTTTTTAAAAAAACATTTTGCAAGTATTTTTTTTTTTCCATCCCCACTGGAGAGGTGTGCCCCAGAGTTACTGCACAAGTGTACTGCATTCAAAAAAACGGTGACCCCCCCCCCTATAAAACTAATGGCAAAGGGGGACTAGTTACACTCCATGTTTTCCTGCTGGCTAACAGCATTTTTTTATCTTGGGAGTGGCCCTCAGAAGGACTTGAAAAAGTTTTTGAAAGTCAGTATTTGGGTGCCTTTGTTCTCTCTGTTTTTGGGAGGCTTGGCACAGCATAGGTTGAACATGCAGCAGGTCAGCTTGAAGTGTATGGGTTTGGGTACTTACGATGAGGGCTCTGTAGGTCTGGTGTGAGACAAGGTGTAAATTGAGGATTAACGTGGCAGATTGCACAGCAGGCCATGACAAATGTGTTAGGAAGAACCCCGTGGGGAGCCCAGGACGAGGCCCAGTCTTGTAGGAGGTAAAGGAGGTCAAGATAGGGGGGCATCGGGAGAACTTTGTAAAGAAAACCAGGACCAGAATAACGAGGTGTGCTGGAGTTAAGGATAATTGGAAATGATGCACGGCAAGGCACAGATGTGAATCATTAATCATTCATACAAAGAAATGAATGGAGCATTCTGTTCTTCACATAAATTCTGTGTCTGCCCTTCCTGATAGCAGGATCCTTGAAGATGTTAGCCTTTTGGCTGCCTACACTGCAGTGCCGTGATACATCTCCGCATTTTGATGAGATTTTACTGATCTGCATTATCATAGTCACCACCCAACAACAATGCAAATGTAGATCGTCTGTATTCTACCCTTAGGATTTTCCTTGTAGGTTTTTTTATGTACGTGAAGGGTTTAGTGCTTCAGAAGAGATAACCTGCATTGTTAAATGCTACAGTTAACTGGCTACAGTTGTCAGTCAGATTAGCAGAGCACCTCCTTTCCTTCCCTGCATCTCCCAGGAGAGAGGTGTCTCTTAAGACCTCTTAAATCAGTGGTAATCTGATCTAAATATTTCCTAAATATTTCCTAGGGGCTTAGGAGCCCCAACACTTACCTTGTTCTCATAGGCATGACTTCTTTTCCTTTATTATGTAATGGCCAATCGACAATCCCCCTCCTTCCTTGCCCCCCCCTTCCCCCCCAGCCCAAATCAGGGTAGTCACAGCAAGGAGTTTGGCTTGTCAGTAGTTTTTTTAATTGGCAGCAAGAACTAGAGGTTTCTCCCCACTGCAGTTTATTGTGTTAGATACTGCCTTGTTTGGCTCTGCTGGTACAAAATGTAAAAAGTGCTGTTGCTGTTCAGCCTGCACTTGTTCAGTGAGATTGTGGTACTGTCCTTCCCTCACAGCATTTATCAGCTGCATCTTGTACAGAAATGCATGTCTTGCCTCAAACTGCCTGAAGGAGCTTAAGTGCCTTGTGTTAACTTTGGTATTTGAAAATCTTGAAGTAGATGAGGCAACTGTGTTTCTGTTTAAAGTGAAACTTGGAAGTTTCAGGGATTTGGCTGTGTTGGCCACATTCAAATGGAGCCCAGTGAAAAAATGTCCTAGCTGGTACCTCTCTGGTGTGAGATTTTTTGCAGATACTCACTGGGCTCTAGAAGGATTCAGGTTAGCATGGCACCATATCCAGGCTAAATATACCAAGCTCATGATAACATTTTATTTTGGCATGGTGTCTTACTGGTGGGGCAACGTAATTTTTTTTCAAAAGAAGGCTTAGTCCACAGCAGTTCAACCTTTTCTCTTACACAACAGCTGTATTTGCTGATTTGGATTGCCAAAGAGCTATGTGAGCATGGAACCCTTAGAAATTAGTCTCACAGTGTCTCAGGTGGTGTATTTACCTTTATGGGGTCTAAGGAAATTTAAAAGTTTAGGAAGTTCAGAAAATCCAGCTTTAGATTTAGGTTAGGTGGTCAGAATGGCTTCTGCAGAACAGCAAGCCACATAGATTGAAACATTATGTATCTTTTACCAGTTCAAAAAATACATATCACAAAAAAAAGCCTGCAGGTTTTTTTCTGCACAAACACAGTAGTTCCAAGGGTTTAAATGGAAAAAGAGATCAAGTAATTTTGGAATACTTCCTGCTTCTGAGGTAAATATTTTACCTACCTCTACTAACAAAAAAATATCTTTTAGCACAAGACCTCTAGATCTCTTTGATCTTAAAGCTGCTGAGCTTTGTATTTTTCTGTGTTGGAATATAAGGAAATTCATATTTTGTGTCAAAGGTCACTGTGGGTCCAGTTGCGCAGATGATAGGCTGGTTTTAATTATTGTATGTTTATATGATTAAGGAAATGCCCAGAGCTATGTGAAATATGGATAGTAAACTTAAAGAATATGAATTTCAGAGTAGATGATAACTCCTGAAGAACTGGAGATTTTAAAAAAAACATTCCTCAGTGAGCTGTAGTTTCTCTTGAATTCTTTGCTTCACTCTAGAGCACTTGGCATTGGTGAAAGTAGAAATTAGGATGTGGGACTACTGGGAGTAGGGTTGATTTTGTGCAAGGCAGTTTGGAACTGTAACCTGGAAACAGTTTAACTTATTAGTGTTCATGTATTAGCCTCCTGACAGCTTCTTCATACAAAATTAACCTTAATTGGGAACATCAAGGTGTCCTATTTTTTTTTTTTTTCTCAGCCATTATGGTTTATTTTTATGTCTGTTCTTTTTTTCACTCACCACGCTTATTGCTGCAACCCTGGACTCCCAGGACAGCTATTGGGAGTGATTTAAAGTTGTTTACTGTTCTTCTTCTTTAAGTCATCTCACCTGTGTGTTCTCCAATGTTGTGTATTTGTTAGAGATTAAATACCTAAAGGTGTGGTAGCACCATCAAAAAGTAGTATCCTTATCCACTGATGCTTTTTGGACTGTTTTGGTTTATGGTTCTCATCATCTGTTTCTTGCTTTCTCTCTCTCTCTTTCCAGGTTATCGTGGAAAAAGCACCCAAAGCCAGAGTACCTGACTTAGACAAAAGAAAGTATCTCGTGCCTTCCGACCTCACAGGTAACAATGCTTACCTCCTTTCTTCCTGATTTTCAGTGAGAGGGTCTCAGAAGTGCTTTTTACTCTGTGATCAGCACAGAGAAAATATCCAGAGAGGCTCAACATCTTGTTTGTCTGCTGTCCTTGTTATATTTATACCTTACAGCCTGGATTACAACACGCAGAATTCTCTGAGATCTTTTGAGGTATCTCACTGGTTCAGCTAGCATGTCACAGCTGAGTTCTAACCATGATGACAGTGACTAAATTTTGCATCATGGGCAGTGTCATCATTACCAGTCAATGATGACCTAGCTGCAGAGGTGCCAGAGGCTGTACTCTTGTTGCAGAAAAGGACAAGTTCTTGCAATAATCCCTTTTTACCACCTCTGTGGCTGTAGTCATAGCTGCAAAGTTCTTTTTCTGAATGGTCATGGTGATTTTGAGTGTGATTACCTCTTGTTTTTTGTTTAAGAACATGAATGAGTTAAAGGAACAGCATTTCTTCTTCTTGCAGTATTTAATGAACTGTGAAAAACATTCTTGGGCAATGTAGTTCAAGTAAATGAGTACATTTGGGTTTTTTTCAGAAATAGTGTAACCATTTACGCCAAGGCTAAATTCTCTAAGGTGTCTTTGATCTGCAGGAGTTAAAGGTTAAGCTAGTTAAAGATCTTCCCACCAATCCCCTCAGTAGAGCATTTCATACCATAGTAGGTGGAGTGTGCATATAGAGGGGACATGGTATGAGGTGTGTACCAGAAAAACTGCCAGTTCTGAGCGGATTGGCTGCTCATGTTGTTACAGTCATGAACTTACTGCTTTCTTCTATTACTTTTTTTCCTGCATTATTCATTTTCCCCTACTTTTTATATACAGCATGTGACTTCCACCACCAAAAGAAAACATCCATGGTTAGGGTTAAAATACAAAAATAAACAAGAACAACAACAAAAAATCAAAAAAAAAAAAAAAATCCAACATTCCTGCATCTAAGGCATTCTTTGTTCTTCTTCAGTTGGTCAATTCTACTTCTTAATCCGAAAGCGGATCCACCTGAGGCCGGAAGATGCTTTGTTCTTCTTTGTCAATAACACCATCCCTCCCACCAGTGCTACCATGGGCCAGCTGTATGAGGTAAGCCTGGCCCTTTTCTCTTGCCTGTTGTTGGCAAGAACAATGTCCAGAAGTGTCAGTGGTTTCCACTTGGTCACAGATGCCTGAACATGGGACCCTCTTGCCCTGAGCTGTATCCCATCACCTGGTCAGGGGAGTTCCATCCCCCAGCCACAAGCTGGGGAGCCTTATCAATTCAACTAGTTGTTTGCTAGTTGAACAGGTTGTGGCAAATAGTTGCCCCAGCAGTGTTATATTTGTTCTACTACTTTAACAAAATATTGAAATAAACCACTTCCTTTTCAGAGGATGGATTTGGGCTGGAGAAGGTGGAGAACATAGGTTTTGCTGTGTATACAAAAGATATTTCCTTTTAGCCAGTAAAAGTAAGTAAAAAGCCAGTAAAAGGGCCAGCATCACTGGACATCCATCTGTCTACAAATACTTTCTTAGGGAACACTTACTCTTTGTCTGGAGTTACTTGTTCATTGTTTGTACTGTATTAGTGAGGGTTATGTAGGATGCTGTGAGTACTGCTGCCTACTGTTTCTACTCAGCAGTGTTACTTGATCAACCTTAAAGGCATACTGGATGCCCATATTTCTCAGTTCTGTAGCCGTTATATCATGGGTGGTTTGCAGCCTGGATTGATTTCTCCTTGATTTCTCCTTCTGCTGGGTGTTTTATTAAAAGAGCTCTGGCATGGTGCTGTGAGCCTTGCTTGGCCTGTCATTTTTTGACAGTAACTGGTCACTTCATCCATCTGTGTGCTGATGAAGAGAATAAAAGACAGGCAGGGTGCTTTCCAAATCTGAACATGTCAAAGGAGAGGGTCTGACTGTCCAGATCTGAGGTCAGATCTCTGTTGCTGGCACTCTGCAGAATTTTTGTGTCAGTGTAATCATTTAACAGCTCTACTGCCCTTATGTAAAACAGGACTTAGAAATACAGCCACTTGCCTAAGTGTTCTGAAAAATTAAAAATACTATCTAGAGGTGATTTTTTGACTTGTTAGATCCTTCCAAGTCTCTCTCTCACTCTTAAGACTATACCACTGCTGAGATACTGATGAGCAGTCAGAGCTATTTCTGTTGCATGCTTGCAGCACAGCCTGGCTGTGCCTCTTCAAGTAAATTCTCTGTGTACAGAAATGTATTCTGCCTGTGTGTAGAAGCAGAGCTGTGACCAGAGTTTTCTTTGGACTTGGGAAGCAAAGCCTTCAATGTAAAGGGAGAGGAACAGTGAAGGAGTTCAGTATCACTCATGTATCACTCATGTGCAGTGAGTTTCTAGCTTTGGCTCCTCACTTTGTCCCTTTGTCTCCTGGCAGGATAACCACGAGGAGGACTATTTTCTCTATGTGGCCTACAGCGATGAGAGCGTCTATGGCAAGTGAGCAGCAGCCCCCCAGGCATGCAGGCTGGATGGACTGATGGAATGGATTGGTGGGGGAGGGGGTTGCTGGAGAGGCAGGAGGAGGATGCATGAGAAGACAAAGAGAACTGGAAGTGAACCACATGCACAATGTCATCAGCTTCCACGCATTAATTATAACCATTATTTTTTAAATTGAGGGGAGTCAGGGTAGGGGGACAGGGTGAACTTGAAGACTTAGCAAGAGGTTCCACACTGGGGGGTGTGGAAACTCCACTCTTAACAATTCTTCTCTTGCCACAGCTGGAAGTAGTTAGTGCTGGAGGCTGCTAGACAAGCCAGTGTAGTGAAGCTCCAGGAGAATGACTGGGCAGGATGGCCATTTTCATGTAACCCTTTCATTGGATGAAGAAGGCATGCCCTATATTGTACACTGACCTTGTCCTGTCTTGTCCATGGCTCCCATTCAGTGAGCTGTGAAACCCTTCACTCTGCCCACACAAGGCTGTCCTGTGCTGGCAGTCCTCACTCCAGCTGCTACCTGTGAATTGTTCTAAGGTTACTGTGTTTCCTATCATTTCCATCAGTATTAGAAGGACTGGTAGCTCTGTCCATCAGTATTAGAAGGGCTTACTCTGAGGGCTGGTAACTCCTCAGCTGTGAGACAGGAAGGTTGGGGAAAGGACAGAAAGATTCTTCAATTTATTTTTTTTTCTTTTGTTGCTTTAATTGCAACTGCTGGACAGAAAAATGACCCTTTTGTTATTTTCAGTGTAGTCAACTGATAAACTCTTAAGCACAGGGCTAGAAAGGACCTCAAGAGCCCTCACCACCTCTGAGACAGGACTGAGTATCCCAAACATGTCCACCATGGCTGTTCATCAAATTTGTATTTAGTGAACTTCACTGAAGAAGATCCTGGAGGCTGCTGAGATTGTCTGTTCAGTTCCTAGCTAGCCTACAAAAGAGATTGCTTTTCCTGATACCTAACTTTAGTCAGCCTTGCTGTGCATTAAGGCAACTAACTACTAGTGATCTTGTTTTTGGTGAACACAGAAAATTATCTATCAGTGTTGTCCTTGTACCAGTCTTCTGCAGATTTGAAGAGGGGAGAATTCCTGTGGGTTTAGCTTTCCCTTCCATGTCTCATCCCTGTACAGCTCTTGCACCACATGCACAAGCATAGGAAATCAGTCACTGCCACATGTGTTCTGCTGGCTTTCTGTGATTGGGTAACAGTGCCTCTCTAAGCCACAAGAGAGGTTCTTGTAGCCTTGAAGGGAAAAAAGAATAGATTATGTGTAGGCTTTTTTCTTAAATTATTTTATTTTAAGCCAGTGTTGTTCTTAGAAGAGTGCCAGATGGGTGCTGTCCTGTGCAAGCCTTGTGCTGTCATGCCAAAGCAGTTTCTTCCCTCATGCTGGCATGAACAGCAGATTTTCCCATTACTGCCATAACTATGATGAAGGAATGGGTCTTGGAGTGTGAGCTGACTTTCAGGAGAATTACGGGGTCTTATCTAAAAATCAGAGAACTAGGCCTGAATTACTGTAAACATTCCTACATTTAAGAGAGGGACCAATAGGGAAAAAAGAGAAGCATGAACAATACAGGCAAAATCCCAATTTAGTTGAAGTCGTTTGCTCAGTTTACTTACCTGTAAAGTTAGATTACTGTTCCCTGTGTTCCTGAGGAATGAGAAATCAAGATGAATGTTCCTCTGAGTGTGGGGAACAGGAAATCAGGTTTCAGCCTTCTCTGTTGTTACATGGAGGTGCATGAGAAGGGAGAGCTGATGGGAGTGTCAGGTGGGAGTTAATGGCAGAACTGTGTGAAGGTCAGGGAGGGCAGCGTGGTAGGGCAGAGGGATTACAGACTGTGTGGGGTGGGAAGTACCAGAAGAATGGGAGAGAATTGAGGAACCATAAAGGATGCAGACAGAGTAGTCAGAATGGGCAGACAGAGAATGAGGGAGCAGATGATGAAATGGATGGCAGAATATCCCCAGTGTTACATCCTGAACTTCAGGTTTGCTGTTCCATCCTTTGTTCACCTGGAATAAATGTGTTTGGATGAGTTTTACCTACTGCCATTTAGAAAACTTCTGTTTCTCCTTGCACTGCTCAGTCCTTTCTTTTAGACTCAGTCTCCTTCGACTACCAGGTTCTCTTCACGTCCTTTGGGTGCAAATCTGCATCAATCTCTTGTTTTAGGAAGCTCTGAATATTCTGAAGTAGAGAACAGACCCAGGAGACTTTCTAGGATAAAAGAGAAGACACATGCAGATGGTATGCATGTCTGCTGCTCTCATACTTGTTCATACCAAGCACGTGGTTAAGCACACTCAGGGGAGAAAGAGTTGGCATCTGGGGTGCTTGGTTTTGTGTTCAGTCCTCCCTTCCCGCTGCTGGGTTTATAAATGACACGTGGGACTAATCACAACTGTTTGTTATGTGTAGAGTTTATGATTTAATTTAGTTCTTTAACAGTTTTTTCAGCTGAATTGTGGCATTTCTTTTTTTGTGCTAGTATTGTACAAGGTAATGATGGTAATTTTTTTGGTGTTGGTTAGCTGCAGGTTATTGTAAAATAAAGTTCAGACTAGAACTTAATCAACTTATCAATAAAGATGCATTTGAAAATCACAGATTGGTCCAAAACAGGTGACTAGCATTTCTTCCCAATGTGAGCTTGTAAATAGAGGGACAACTTTGCCAGGACTTTTGCTGTTACTTTTTCCCACAGGTCCAGCTTTACTCTGTCCCGTCTACCAGGACAAGTCCCATCTCTCCTATTTTTGGTGGTATTGTCACATACACACCTAGCTGTGTCTTGCCATGCCACCAGTGGGATCTTTAATTAGACCTGGATATGTGAGAACGTCTTAAGGTGCATAATGAATACACTGATGCATTTTCTGTAATTTTAAGGTCCTGAACAGTGATGGCACATTGACAGCATCACCAGCCCTGCCTGTCCCTACCAGGCACCTTGGGCCACCTGTCCCGATGCTCATGGCCCAGGATTGTTTTTATCTGTCATCTGTTTAGCTGTCCCTGTCAGCCCCTCAGGACTGTAACCACCTGTGCTGGCGCAGCCATGATCCTGCTGAGCCCCTGCCCTTTGCTGGGCCCTGGCCTGCCAGCAGGATTCCTGCCTCATCACCTATGGATGGGGCTTACCACCACCTCTGGCTGTGCCCCACTGCCTCTGGTGGATGCTGTGGGACAGGTCCCGTGTGCTGTGCCAGCCATATCCCTCATGGAGCCAGCCACTCGTCCTTCCTCTGTCACCACAGCCCAGGCTGAGGTGTAATTTGCCGTGGGAAGAAGTGGGAGAGGCCCAGGGGGTCTGCCATGCCACAAGGCCCTCTAAAGGTAGGAGAGCAAAGATAAGGAAATATGGGATTCCTTGAAAAGAAAGCCTACATTTGTGATAAATGAGGTTGCTTTTCCTTGTGGATATTTGTGCGCTGAGGGGGAATGTTGTGGTTTAAGGCCTTGCGTTCGGAAAATATCGGGATGTAACGGAAAGCTAGTAACCCACCCCTCTCTGTTAGGATAGTAGGGCCTTCTGCAATTAGCCAATAGCACCTAACTGTGACGAAAGCAGAAGGGAGTAACACAATGACCCTAGGCTATAAAATGTCAAATTCCCCTGCAATAAATGCCATATTCGCCATCCATCACATTGATGCTGTGGGATATGGTCCGTGCAGCTGAAGATAGCCGCCGTGCTGGCTCTGGCCAGGGTGCCTGCCTTGCTTGAAAACCTACATATGGTGCCCGAAACCCAGGAGGAAAAGTGGGAAGAAATGTGACAAGAAACCCAGAAAGCAAGGATACCCTGGACCACCGAGCAGTGGCCAAGGTAGCTGGACTGATCTTGGCGAGAGAGATCCTGGGCCCAGAAGGAAGATGGAATCATTGATAAAGGTCAGATTGCAATTAAGTTGTAAACCTAATTTACTTGCGATTGCAAGGTTTTGGTTTATTGAGGTCATAAATCAGCTTGTAAAGTCCATCCACCCTAAGGTGTGGGACAGATGTACTAAAACGCTTGCCGAAGGGATTTGGGGAGCAACAAGGAACTGTATGTTGGCTACCCTGAAATTTGGGGTCAGAGCTTTACAGCCCCCAGACGGGAGAAGCTCAGCTGAACGGGGGCGGGGCCGGGAGGGCGATGCGTCCCCTTGGTCCCGAAATCCTTATCTGCTCTGGAAGAAACAACGGAAAGCAAGAGATTTTTGGAGAAAGCTAACGGAGGAAGCCACAAATGTAGCAAGGAGGGTAGGGGGAGAAGCATCCCCCCAAGGACTTAAAGATGGCGCTGAGAAAAGAGTTACGAAGCGGGAAAAAAATGTCTTTAACAAAGAACAAAGACTGGCCTTGAAAGATGAGCGCAGTTGGGAGGTTGAAAAAGATAAGAAATGTGGAAAAGAAGCGGGGGATGGGTACAGAGGCACAGAGATGGGAATGCAAGAGAGGAAGGAGGGTGGAGCAGAAGGAGAAGGGAAAGGTGGGGTGAAAGGCAGAGTGGAGGGTGGAACAAAAGGCGTGGAGAACCAGGAGGGAGGGAACAGCCTGCCCACAGGGGTGGCAGGTGGGGCTGGAGTCCAACAAAAAGGCATGGAAAACAGGAAGTAGCCAGCCAGTCGAGCTCTGACTCTGATGGAGATACTAATGACAAATGGTCAGAGTCCAAGTCCTCAGAAGAGGAAACAATAGAGATAAACAAGAACATCCCCCCCACTCCCTCTCTAAGAAGAAGTGCCGGGATAATACCCAGTTTGTTACAAAGTCATGATTTATTGAGTTTTTAAAATGTTTTTATATACCCTTTTGGAGTTAATTTTGTGTTTTAAGTAATTATGAGTTTATGCAGTTGTAGTTTTTTGAGTTTTATTAAAGAAATTATTGTGATTCTTTAAAAGTTTAAAAAGCCCCTTTTCAAAAACAAACATGCTTAAAGTGAATATTAACAGAAATTACCTTGCAATAATTAGTTTTAAAACCTAAGGTTAAAATATGGTGTGACTTACAGCTTTTAAGAAAACCTTCCAATTAATGTTATCTATAAAAGAGATTTGTGGTTTAAAAAATAATTAGTTAAGAGAACTTTACTATACAAGACAAAGTTAAGTTAGAGTATATATTATGGATTTGCTTGTTTTTTTCACAATTTTAATAAGGTAATTTCAATGTGAGTCTTTTTGTTATATAAAACACGTATAACTGCATATATATCAATTTGGATTTTGGATTTTAGTTTAAAAATTAGACTTGATGTTCTTGAAAAGTGCTACAAAAGCTAAATGACAACTTGCCAAATCCTGTGTTGTTGTGGTTTTTCTTTAGAAAAACTGCACTTTAAAATCCTAACTAATTTAAGCATATATTAGGCAAATTCTTGTTATGAATGAGTATTTTTAGTAACATTTGCAGTTTTTGTGGGTTATTCTTAAAGCTAGATGACATGAAATTGTGATGTATTTGTTACATTTTTATAATTTTTATAGTGAATCCATGTTACCGTTGACTTAGATGTTTTTAAGTTAAGTTGTATAACTTGGATAGTCTTTTAAAGTTAAGTTTTGTTATTCCTTTTGTCATAAATAATTATTGTTAAGTTTAAATGTTGTTTAATTTAAATTGTTTTATGTTTTATTGGAGACACTTGTCTAAATTGCAAAGTATAGTTATTTTCCTAGAGATATGAAGACAGCCACAACTGAAACAGCTGTAATAGAACACTGATGAACACCTGCTTGTGGACAGAAATGAATACAGTCTGTGACACCCTGGACTTCATCGGGAGTTCTATTAGGTTGTTGGAATCCTTGCAGTTTCGTTTGTTATAGCTTTCTTATTTTTCAGTGTTTCCAGAATTTTAAGATGTACCATTGCTGAGGATCAGCTGCCATGGGAGAGGCTTAAGATTAAACCAACTGCTGCATGGTTTAATTGGTCTGGTACCTGAAGCTTCTGATTATTTGCTTTGTACGAATGCATTTTAACAGTTTGCTGTGCTGTAAGCATCTCATAGCTGCTGCTATTGAAAATCTTGTTCCAAAAATATATTAAGAGGCATCTTTCCAGTTTAAAGTCTAAGGCCCTGGCCAAGCCTTGACTTTACCTGGACAGAATGTTTGCCAACAGATCCAGGTGTTTTCTGTACCAAATCAGTATTTAAGTCACCTTTTGACTCAGCAATTTGGCTCTATTAATATGACAGCTGGATCAATTTTGGAGTGGGCTTGGAGAATCATTTCCGGAGGTGGTTATCCAATCCTTCACTGATGATTTTTGTCTCTGTTTGTTTATTAATTATGGGATGCTAGTACAGTGTTTTAGCAATTAATAGTAGTTTTATACTACATATCTTATTAATAATGTTTATGATTTAATTGATTTTTAACTGTTATAAGTTGTTACTAATTGTGTATATAGTTTTGTGTTAATGTTGAACAGAAGTACATCTCATTTTTATTTTTTTTTAAGAAAACGGGGGAAATTGATACCCTAAAAGAAATTTGATTAGTGTAATTCATTAACTTCAAGGAGAGAAGTGCCTATGTTTTGTTGGCAGGTTCAGAAAGGTCACCTGTTCATCTGACCAGACTGTCTGCCTCTGAACACATGAGATCCAGTGAACAGAGAAGTCAGCACACAGCCTTGCTACTCCAGACATGGATCAGAAGTGGACCTGTCAGGACACAGTTGTGTCTGAACACTATATAGACAGTTGCCAACAGAAATTTTATGTTGTTATTATGATGTTGTGTCTCTTTCAATTTTTCAGTTATCTTTTGTTTTAAGATTTAGAAGGATGTGAAGAACAACTTGAACATCAAAGCCCTCAGTCACCGATCAGCTGCCAGCTGACATCACGGGAGCAGTGAACATTCCAGGACTGAATCGTGTTAGAGAAATTTTATAAAAGATTTAAGAAGTGTAGAGACTCCATCTAACTGTATATAAAGCAAATTGTAGTTATGTGTTTATTCTTTTAGCAAATTGCTTTCACGTTTAGACTACATATATACCAGAGCATGTGTGTTAAAAGTAGTTAAATAATAGTTTAAGGTGTTTAGCCTGTGTAGTAATTGTTATGTTAGTATAAAGTATAAGTATTTTCCCTTTAAGAGGTAGTGTAAGCATCTTTGAAAGTTCATTTAACGCTAAAGTTTTAGCTGTGAGTTTGTAAGGATGGTGTTATTTACATAGTAAACTGCTATTTGAGCTATTTAGCTATTTGGGGTGTGAAACAATAGTCCTGAGTAACAGGTGAACACCACCAAAAGCAGACGAGTTTCTGCAAGTAACCTGGGGTTCGGCAAGCTGTATGCGTCCCAGTTTCAACTCCATAAGACAAGTGTTTTAATAGTCTAGCCCTTGCATTTTTACCCAAAGCTTTAACTCCTCTGTGGACTTTTGTGTATTAGCTGCTATTATCCCCAGAGTCCTATACCACTCCAGAGAAGAAGTGAACCAGTACCTTGAGCAAACAGGCTGCCTTCAGAAAAGAGAGCTGCTGACAGGACTGTCAATAGCAATGCTGCTTGACTTGGGAGCGACTGGAGCAGCCATGGGTGTCTCCGCTCTGGTAACCCAGAGTCAGAGTCTCTCTCAGCTACAGATGACTG